CATCCATGTCCCGGTGGTGTTCATTTGACCTCGCATAGTTATCCAGTGTTTTGTGGTACCACTCCTCAAACGGGATCCATCATTATAGAAGACTGTCCATCCAGGTATTCCTGTCTCGGAGATACCAACTATAAATATTCTCTGTGCTGTCCTGATGGTAAAATATTTTTAATATAATTCAGTTTCCACAATTGTATGAACATTATAAATTTTTCTTTCAATTATGAATATTAATATATTTTATTTGTTGTACCGACAGATACTACTTTGGGCTGCTATGTGAATAATGCTTTTATACCAAATGGTGATTACTATATTGACGACGAGTGTTATGCATGGTGAGTTAAAATATGTAAGAAACTATTTAAAATGAAAATTAACTTTTGGAAGCATATCTTTATTAGCATTCCATATAAATTAATTACATTTTGGGATTCAAGACCTTAAACGGCTTTTATTATTATGTTTATATTGATATTATGCGTTCCTATTCAAAATATATTCACACCAGTTTTTATTTAGTTTAGATTGACCCCATAGGGAAAGCGTTCCCCTGAACGTTCACCGGCTTTAATGAGTATAGTGGGGATGAGTCACAAAGAAACTGAAAGTCAAATATAAACTGACAGCTCTCAATTCCTCGTGCTCGTACATTTATTTAGGGGTCTAAATTGTTGGTTGGTAACATATTTGCTCCACTTAGATCCAAACTTGTTTTTGTTCGATTGTTGATGTCATTTAATTGCTTCTAATGCTGCATACATCACACAGATTTTATGCATACATAGTTTAAGGTTTGTTCTCCTGCGGGCGTCTTGACATCCGGGCATTTCTGCTATGTCACTTTACTTCGTATTATCATTATCAAGTTATCTTGTTGCACATGTTTGTCATAATCCAGATGTCATTATAATATTGACTTTGTTTCTTTTCAGTCAATGTGTAAACGGTAGGATTACATGTGAGGACACACCGTTATGTGGTAAGTGTATATCCATTAACCCTCTGCATATGAAATGTGAAAAGGATTTGTTAACACATAATATAACTTGTTTGTTGACGCTAGTGACGTCATGGACTAGTAGGATCCACAAATCGAGGGCGAGTGGATAATACACCCCATGAGTCCCATTTTCATAAAGACACGTATCATATTATGATCTATGCTAATTAGCAATGGCGTCTAACCGTGTCAGTGACTGCCAATTCTCGTAACGCTCTTTCTCTCTGGTGTCCTTTTCAAATACACATAAATTGATGACGTGTAACGTTTAATGTTCGATAAACGTCACCGTGTGCACGTGATCATGCTATAGAGATTTTCTTATCGCATTGCGGTGTCAGATGAATTGTAATAAATAAATTTGTAGATAAACAGTTTTATTTTGACCTAGTCGGTTTTAAGTTTTAGACATCATTTTTAAATTTATTATCTGTAGATAAAATGTGTCCCAGTGGAGTACAACCTTATAAAGACGACCAAAACATGAATGCATTATGCTCCGTTGCAATTGGTGTCGATAGTATATTAACTCAGACCTGCCCACGTGGTTTCTACTGTAACATGATAACGAGTTCGCACGGTGTGTGCTGCCCGCTGAAACGTAAGTATTTACATATTTTATTTTCATTTTGCATTGCGAAATCAGACTTTAAGGCGTCACAGTTCCTGTCCTGCCCCATGCTACGTATGCAAAGCGCGTATATTACATTTTGTCACAATTACATTTTTGAAACTCTGTACAACGATTGTAACGTTTCAATGTCTACTCTGCTAAGTAACGACAAATTTAATTGTTACGAACTGCTACTTTTAACAAATAAATAAAAAAAGTCTCTAATTTATTCCTCATTTATATTATGGGTTAATTAACATATACACATCTTCGCAAGTGTTTTCAAATGTTATTGCTTTTTCTCCGCCAACTAGGTTGTTAAACGTAACTCATTTAGAGTAAAGAAACATCTTTTCTAGGTGTTCAAGACCGTAATTTTATATACATTCATTTGCTCTATTTACCAGTTGATGATGTGTGTTATTATAACGGCGTTGCGTACCCAGTTGGTGGAACCGTGATATGGGGCTGCGCCCTCTGGTAGGTTTCACATATTTGTTATTATTGTTCAGTTAACGACATGCTGCCCATGCGCTAGTACACTGCCTATACGTGCTAATGACATGAACAAGTAGTATTGGCAATCGTGCAATATCACTACACTAACGTTTTTGATTGTGTCCCCAGTCAATGCCGGGATGGTGGATTTGTATGTTTGTATCCCCCTGGTCTTATCTGTGGTAAGTTCCGGCAATATTTAGTACTTCAAGTTCAACAGCAATTGTTAACGTAATAAATATGGCAATATATACAAGTTCTGGTCGATGAAGCAAATTAACCAACAACAAACAATATTATGAAATGATTGCAAGTATATATACTGCTTGTAGATACAGTTGTATGACCTATTACAAATTACTCTGTTGTTGTTGCCTGTCTTTTTAATACCAGCACACTTTTTTTATAGATCCATCAGAACCCATCTGCCCCAATGGCGATGATTACTATACAAGTACGGGAACAGACGTTAATTTTTGTACACTTCCACTGGATGCACCATTAGGTCTTACACAAGGGGATTGCCCGGCTGATTATTTTTGCCATCCTTTGGACCTCGGATACAGTATATGCTGTCCAGCAATTTGTAAGTCTTCTCTTTCACTACAAATCGTCTTCAGTGGTGATTGTTATTGCAATTCTCTTTTCAACTATTGTTCACCGACACGATGCCAATGGACTGGATAAAAATGACCACGCAAAACATTTATGCGAAACCGTAACTCTTGGCGCATGCCACCATACTGGATAATTGGTGACATCAAGCGTTGATAGTATGTGTATTTATTTATATCTGTAGCTGGAGATTGCGTTGTTAATGGAGTTCTGATTCCGAATGGCGGAGTGATTCTGATGCCAGACTGTGTGTTATGGTGGGTATTACAGATTTAATAATAATGTCGGCTAAAACACAGTGTATTTTCGTAGCATCTTCTTTGGTGTTCTCTATTCAATCTCATATTTAGTGAACGTGAAGTAA